TATTCAAATCAACACTCTAAATAATGCATACAACAGATTTTTAAAAATACTTTTGATTTAGCATGCTGCCCAAAGTCAGAACGCAGAGGGCAGCTGATCTAGATGTATAATTGAAATCAAACTCCCACTCGACTGTAACCCAACGCGGTGCCCTCCACTCATTTCATGCTCTGAGTGGATTTCACTGGGCCTCAGTTTTGAGTCGTAACTGAAGAAAACCAGGCAGGCCAAAATAAGGAAGCAGGATTAGGAGTCAGGGCATAAATCGATGAGACATAATGGAAGGCTAGAAAAAAGGTGCAGAGCTTCAATTTCACAATCTGCTTCTCTGCCTACACACACACACACACACACACACACAACTGGCCCGAACACACTCTTAATCTCACACAGAGGCCTGCAGCCAGGCCTGATTACTCTTTTCAGGAAGGATTCATGCAGAAGGTGAATATCCAGCTTTAGAGAAAAGCTCTGGAGTGTTTACGCTGGGTGCCGCTGTAGATGACCTACCAGTACGGTCGACAAGCTTAGACACAGAAGCTTAGACTCAGACACTGATACACACACAACAATACACATGCACTCTTGAACTTTGTTTTTGCTCTCTTTACTTCACTGTCCTCTCAGGGGCGTAGGAATCATTGTAACTTTCTAAGTTTGACTGCTCTCAACTTTTTGGGAGATAATCGTTGTATTCTAACAGCTTTGTTTTACTTGGCCTCGGTGCTTAGAAGGAAAACTGTAGATGCATATGTAAAACAATGGCTTTACGACTGAATGGCAGTAGCCTGAATGAACACGCAAATGGTAAGTGGTAAATCCGTCTGTGCTCTTTTGAATTGTTTTGAAAAGTAAACATGCTAGATTGATGTTCTTTGATCATTGCACCTAGCATAGTTGTTCTTTAATGCGAGAGCTCATCCCCTAAAATAGCTAGAACCCACTCGGCTTCAATTATTTAAAACTACTGGGTGAATGTTACATCATCTAATTAATATTCATGAGACAGGCTGATGAGGTTTTTAATGTGTCTTCCTCAAATTTTTAGATCAATTCTGCTCTCTCTATTCTCTATAAAACATCAGAAAAATGGTAAAGTGTGTAATTTCTGTGCCACTACTAGGACCAAAGAGTATTGCAATTTCTTTTCTTTTTTGTAATGGCCTGGGACAGGGGCGTAGATTACGCGGGGGACGTGTCCCCCCCACTTTTAATATCACGTTAATTCGTCCCCCGCACTTTTTCGGGCAAGTGTGTTCGCATAGAGGATTTCAAGAGCCGGTGTGAATAAATATAGATTTACATTCAAAGAGACAGGATAGTCTGTGGTTATATTGTAATGTTTTATATATATATATTTTTTTTTAATTGATTTTTTTTATATATAACATTTCTGTCCCCCTCACTTCTGAAATGATGGCTACGCCCCTGGCCTGGGATAACAATATTGACTTCGGGGCGGACTACCTCTTTGGTCAGTAAGATCTTTTTCTTTTTCTTTTTTTTAAAGAAATGAATACCTTTGTTCACCAAGGATGCATTAAATTGATCAAAAGTGACAGTAAAGACATTTATAATGTTACAAAAAAGATTTCTATTTCAAATAAATGTTCTTTCTATTCATCAACAAATCTGTAATACTGAAAAAAGTATTACAGTTTCCACAAAAATATTAAGCAGCACAACTGTTTTCAACATTAATAATAATAAGAAATACTTTTTGAGCATCAAATAGCATATTAAAATGATTTCTAAAGGATCATGTGACACTAATGACTAGAGCAATGGCTGCTCAGCTTTATCGTCACAGGAATAAATTACATTTTAAAATATATTAAAATAGAAAACAGTAATTTTATATTACAATGATATTTCACAATATTACTGTTTTTACTGCATTTTTAAATCAAATAATTGCAGCCTTGGTGAGCATAAGAGACTTTTCAAAAAATAAAATAAAATAATAATTTACTTTGAAGAAATAAAAGCATACATGCAATTAAGACAAATTTTAACATGTATCAATCTATAAAACTAGTAAGTAGCCTAGCTCAGATAATTTGGTTTCAGAGGAATTTGAAGAGAAATGTTCGAGGTCATATATTTAAATCACATGAAACTATATTTAAAAAGTAATATTCTGGCTTTTGATAGCAGACTGCTCAGGTTGTGAATCTGAGAACCAGGAGATTGAGAAAAAGTTTCCATTGAATCTCACGGCTTTCTAGGAGAAATAATTAAATATTTATGTGATCCTATTTGTAATTTTTCTTTCCTACACACCAGCCAGTTCCTCTTTTGCTAATACGCAGAATCTCTAGCTGAGTAAAGCCCCTGAATGAGAGCGGAAAATGGAAAGGCAGCACATCTGTCATGTCGAGACCCTCAGTGATCTCTGGATATAAAAAATAACCTTTTGCTCTCTGGAGGGCTGTGGCACTGCTGGGGCAAAACGAGCAGCAATAAGCGCTAATGATTTCCTGTTTCCTCCATATTCCGATCATGCCAGGCTCATTCAGGGCCACTTTGTATGCATCCGTGCCCTGCTAGCAGCACAAACACTCAGTGCGGTCTTCTCCATGGACAGGCTTGCAGACTTTTACATGTGCTGTATGCATAATGCCCGGCTGGCCGTCTCTCTCCCTGCACTCCTCCATCAAGTGATTGATGTTTTGCTGTCACCAGCCTCTGAGAAAGCACCAAGCGAGTCGCTGTTTTCTCTGCTCGGTCTCACCTGAAGCTTTTTCTTTCTATTTTTATTTAAAAATGGAGTTGAAGAGAACAAGATTTGCTTCTTCTCACAGTCCAAAGGAAGGGTAAAGCAGTAGGGTGTAAAAATAATGGGTTATGTATGGATTGTGGAATGTGTGTAAATGAGAGAGCAGGGAATGTGACGTCCTCTGCCTCACCGTAACCCTCGCGTTCCCTCGTGCCCCTGAGATGAGAACAGGGAGACTGCAGGACGTGTGAATTTGACAAAGGGAGCCACTAAGCAGCTTTCCTTCCCTCCGTGTGCGTCTTCAGAGCCCTTGAGAGATATACCAATGACTGGGGTGACGGCTGGGGAACACACTCCGGGCTCAGGATTGGGTGTGTGTGTGTGTGAGGGTATAAAAACTGAAGAAATGATTTCCTGCTACCCAGAACACAGTATTCCTAAATACTCATCACATAAGGATAATTTTAATATAACTTATTAATCAGTGACAGACATAGAACACAACTATGAGGCACTACACTATCACCAGGGAACCGATAGCCTATTATAATATTTTTGTATGTTTATATTCACTTTCTATTTATGAATACCACATTATTTGAAAATCTCAAGTTCATAAAATATAATATAATATAATTAATATAATATAATATAATATAATATAATAATTAATATTAGGATATTTCAAAATCTCTCATGAAGTATATAATATAATATTAGATTAAAGAATAAAGCTTTTATTTGTCAGTACTAACTGTTGCTTTAGCTCATATCTTTAATAGTTACCAAATTTGTGCTCACAGATTATATTTATAATTTCATTTGATTTGGATGAGACCAAAAGTGGGGACTTGTTTATTTTGTAATCAGTCCATCCATTTTCACCAGGTTGATTCATTCAGGCCAATTTGCAGACTGGTTGTGAACACAATAGATGTGTATTATGACACTGACAGAGCAATCAGCCAATCAGAGCAACATGAAGACATTACTGCTGTGTTTATTTTTTATCCGATGAACACCTCTGAGAAGATATATGAGCGAAATTATTAAAAGGATAGTTCACCCAAAAATGACAATTCTGTCATCATTTACTCACCCTCATGTCGTTCCAAACCTGTATGAGTTGCTTTCTTATGTTGAACATAAAAGAAGATATTTTGAAGGTTGCTGGTAATCAAACAGTTGGTGGTTGCCATTGACTTCCATAGTAGGAAAAAAAATAATATGGAAGTCAATGGCAACCACCAACTGTTTGATTTTGGTGTAAAGGTGTAAAGGGATTATCATTTAGATCCAGAAATAAATTTGAAGTGTATTGTATGTTTGTGTATGCATAAAAATCATTAGCTATTGACTATGTAAATGCTAAATCAGTTTTTTTTCTCCTCTGGCCTTCAGTCTAGGTAAGACTAGAACAATCAACTGGTGCAGAAATGGGAGACAAAGCAAACAACAGCATTTAAAGATTTACACAGACAATACATTACAGAGCGAATAATCATTCTGCAACAATGAACCACTTTAGAAAACATGAAACACCGCATTCAACACAAGATTTATCCGCAATGGTGTATTTTTGTGCTCTGCATTGCCTATTGTGCAGTAAACAGTGTGAAGGAGCAGCCAGCTCGGCTTATAGGGTAAAAACTCAATCTGCATGATAGAGATTCGCCTCTTTTGCTTCTTTTTTACACAGCGAAAAAATTGTTATGTTGCCTTATGTATAATCTAGGCATTTTTGCGGAATAATGTCAGTAAATAGACATTTATAAGCAATTATGCAGAATGTTTTAATTCACCTGTGTTTTCATTTTCTTAAGCTTCCATTTGTATAACAGAGAACAATCAGCAGAACATATGAGGCGAATGTATTGTAATCAGTGCTGCAAACAGACTTTTCTTCGTCATTTCATCATTTCTTATTCTGATATTCTGCGGTTTAAAGTTAAAATGCTTTAAAGATTTTTTAATGATTTGTTTATTACAAAGACACAGCTTTTCACTTCACAAAACATTAATTGATGGATTGGAGTTGTGTGGATTACTTATGGATTATTGTGATGATTTTATCAGATGTTTGAACTCTCATTCTGACGGCACCCATTCACTGCAGAGGATCCTTTGGTGAGCAAGTAATGTACTTATAAATTCCATTTTCACACTTCACAGCAGTAATTGCTGAACCATGGGATTCAGAGAGCAGCAGGACACACAGACAGACACAGAGAAAAGGATAAAAAAGAGGAAGAAACAAAGACAACATGAGCCAGGCTCTTACATTTCAACTCCAGACGGATGAAATCCGTGTTTCCAAGGTTTTCCAGGAACACGCCATAGGGAGCAGAGGTCTTGAAGTAAAAGGAGATATCAGCACTCGTTTCTCCTTGAAAAGTGGAGAAGTGCAGGTACGAGGATGGCGTGTTGAATGATGCCGCGTTCCAATAGCTTCCTGTAAAACAGATCAGAGAACAGGCCGAAAGTAAGTTTCAACAGTTCTGCTTCTGAAGTCTGCAGTCAAGGTCCTTTTTATCCAATATCTGAACCTGAACAGCATTAAACCACCATGAAATTCACAAAAGCAAAGCTTTCGCTGACAGAAAATGACTTATTGCATTGCAATTCTGCACTGTGTCCAGTCTTCAGAGGTCTCATATACTCAAAGAAACATCTGAGAAGTGACCTGTATAATCAAAAAACACTTAGGAGGAAACCACCAAACAAGAGGAAAATAACAATTTAATCATACAAGTCAACTCTTGTCACAAATCTGAGTGGAGTGCACCATTCAGGGCTTTAGCTAGTTCTTGCCATTACGTTGGTGAGTGCTGTGTATGTGACCACAGTTGTCTGTATGAGAGCATGTGGTGCCTAGGAATTATTTCAAAGCCAGCTTGCCAACATCTTCCCTGTCCAACAGCTCTCATGGTTTGACCCCCACCCATCGTGTAATAGAGGCACACTGAATCCCCACTTATCTGAGTGGAAGAGACAAAAATAAAGTGTCATTTCTCTCTAAGATGATGAGTAGTGCATTTTTCAGGTAAGGGGGATATTTTGGGAGATAGCTGAGCTGAGGGATAAAGTGAGAGATCACTCAAAATCAAACACAAGTTTGAGGTAAGCTTATGTTTAGCTCGAATATCTCCAGAGCTTTGCTGTGGACAGTTATTAGACAATCTGTGACTGGTTTTAATGTGTGGGTGATAACATGCCAGCTCCCATTCGTCATTCTGGTGAAATATCTCCTTGTACAATTAAAAATAATATTTGCTGCACTGCATTCTTGCATATAATTCCTGTTGACAAGTATGCAGCGTTTTGGATGCTAGCTTTTGCGTCATCTGTGATTTTATAGACAAAAATCAGAAATTCATGATTAGGGCTAAAGACCTTCCATAAAGGAAAATAAGAAACTAAATATATATATAAATAAAAACACCCAACTGCAAATATCCAAAATACACTGAACAAAATTATAAACGCAACACTTTTGTTTTTGTCCCCATTTTTCATGAGCTGAACTCAAAGATCTAAGACTTTTTCTATGTACACAAAAGGCCTATTTCTCTCAAATATTGTTCACAAATCTGTCTAAATCTGTGTTAGGTTGCGTTGATAATTTTGTTCAGTGTATTTATAATGTATTTGGGGTCAATAAGGTTTTTATTAATTAATTAATTTTTTATTTTTTTGAGAGAAAAAAAATTATACTTCAGCAAAGCTGCATTAAATTAGACAAATGTGACAGTAAATTATATTGTTACAAAAATTGTTACAAACTGGTCGTTCGTCCCACCCCTTCTTTAAAGAAAACAGGTCAAAAATAAATAAATAATTGTCCACTAGCTAAACCAACTTCAAATTAGCTTGGAAGTTCAGCAGGGCTTGTTTATAGGCACTTTCTTCCCATATTCAACAATGTCATAATAAATAAACAGCAGAATGTCTGACTGAAATATTTTTTTGCTCAGCTACTGGCTAAATGCTAAACCACAAACACAGTGACAGGCACAAACACATTGCCATTAATAATGACTGAGATCAGATTTATCCCTAGACATTTACTGTGACTCATGTACTTTAAATCAGAAAGCTAAATAATGTCAGCACTCTCTGCTCTAATGTCGTGCATAAAACACAACCGTCGCAGAAGACAGAGAATAAAAGATCTAAGGAAGGAAAAAACAGAATGTGATGGAGAGGAACAATGTGACAACGGACCGGAGAGATATTAGAGGATGATGTCATCTCAAGACAGATGGAAACAAAGAGAAACGGAGAAAGAGAGAGAGACTACACTGTAAAAAAGATTTTTCAAAGCTGTAAAAAAGATTATCAGACAAGATTTACAAGAAAAATACTATTTCAGTTTTATGTTTAATTCAAAGTATTGCTTGCCATTTTCTTGTAATTATTTGTGAAATTTACTAGCAATTTCCGAGATAAAACATTTTGTTTCCAAGTAATTTTTTTTGTAAAGTGTAAAGTTTAGTTTAATTCAGGATCTATTCTGTTTAATTTCTAACCAATGGGTCAAAGTTTAGCTGGTTAGCATGACCAGGAACATTCTGTATGTTTTTCCATTTATAGTCATTCAAAAAGCAGCCATGCATTCATATAAATTAGACGTGTTTAATTATATTACTGTATGAATCCTTAAATACAAACTTTCAACAATGAAAAAAATATATCAAATGAAAATTCTTCCACAATTTATTCCCCTTATGTTGTTTCAAACCTGTATGACTTTCTTTCTTCTGTGGAGCATAAAAGAGTTTTTTGGTGAACTACCCTTTTAATAAATCAGAAGTTGTTAACTATTATTGTTATTTATTATTACTATTATTGTATGTATCCTTAAATACACACTTTTAACAATGAAAAACGTTTTTGCATGCAGCCAGTGAAGACAATGCAATAGAAAGATTGCCTTTGCATCCATATCACACAAAAATTCAGACTGCAAGTAGTTACATTTCTGTAGAATCAGCAGCTGCAAAAGCATCACTGCTGTATAAAGCTACTGGTGTGTACCTGCAAAAATGTTCACTCCATCAGCACTGAATGCCAGAGAAGTCAAGGTCCCATTCCTTTTCTTTCTCACAGCCACCTATATCCCATAAATCTCTTTCTATACAAACAAAAAACTTACTAAACTTCACCCAATGCTTATTTGTCCCTGCACTCACTTGTTCTGTGAATAATGTGTTTCTGTGGCGACTGGAGTAGGAGGAGAAGCAGAGACGTTCATGCGCCCATTAGGGAGGTCTGAGCTTATCACAGCAGCACAGGAACAGCTCTTTTATTCGAGCTTGCTGAATGTAAGACTCTCAGTCTGTCCATCCGTTAACACCCAATGTTCCAGCACATACTCATTTAATTATTCGCCGATTTGCAGAATTTTCGATGGGAGCCAGTGTTTTTTGGAACAACGTGGGACGTTTTTAAATCAGGCTAATAAGGCGGTACATGTGGCTGATTAAATATGGCTCCTGCCAGGCAACAAAAGGCTGTGAAACAATTGATAGTTCACCCTGTAGATGAGCCTCGCTCTCCTTCCTCAGTGAAGGATTACAATCTTGTGTTCGAAATGGAATGTTACACTGATTGTTTCAAAGCATCTCAATTTCACGCGTGTCACTTCTGGTTAGGATTTTTTTCTTTTTCGGATAAGAGTTTTAAGTGATGTCCAGATGTGATTTTTTAAAAAAACTGATTCAATAAGATTTGGAGTGTTCTTGAGCTGTGACAAAAGTGAATGAACGTTTGGACGTTCCTTGAGAATTTTGCTTTCACAGAGTCAAGGACAACGACAATAGAGGTGTTCGGCTGTGAAGCACTTCAAACAGATTTACATTGATGCATAATGTTGAAAAAAAGAGGACTGGGTTCAGAGGAAGTTTAGATGAGAAATGCATGCTGATTATCAATTCGCTGACTGAGCATTACTTGTTTGCCAAATGTTTCATTCAGCTACAGCAGCATGTTCCCTACGCCAAATAGTGCAACTTGTAAAGTTGGACGTAACAGCAGTTCTTTTGGACAGCAAAGTGGAAACCTGTTCCTTTGAGGAACCAACATGAGTCATCGCTTTAAGAGCAAGAGATCTGCCTTTAAATGGGGATGTAATAGCAGATGTGGATATGAAACTAGAGGCAATTCTGCAGGGCCAGAGCCAAATCCAAAAAAAAACAAAAACAACAAAAAAAAAAAATCAAAATAATAAACTAAAAGAAATGTATTTAAAAATGGCTTTGGTGAATGAATAAAACTGCAGTTGGCTGCTGACTTTATTACAGGTCTCTACAGTATCTTTCAACCAATGAATTTAAATGATTTTTCCATATCTTTTTCAGTCATATGTTTATTAATGCCTGACATGTATATTGGCATAAGAATCATAAAAAAATATTTTATTGAGAATGCACAGAGCAATTTCTAATCAATATTTTACTTACTAAATTTAATTCTAAAACAACAATAAAATAATTAACAGTTAACAATCAAAATAACGTTTTAAGAATTTTAAATTTAACATTTTTTTTCAATCTGAAAATTCCATGATATTTTCCAGGGTTTCCATAACAATTTAATAGTTTTACTCAGCAATGATTCATTAAATTGATCAAAAGTGATACTATTTTTTTTAAATGTTATAAAATATTTCTATTTCAAATAAATTATATTCTTTCAGTTCATCAAAATAAAATAAAATAAAAGGTTTCCACAGAAACATTAAACAGCATATATATGAAGCATGATAATAATAATAAATGTTTCTTGAGCACCAAATCAGCGTATTAAAATGATTTCTGAAAGATCAAGTGACACTGAAGATGCTGAAAATTCAGCTTTGCATCACAGAAATAAATACCATTTTAAAATCTATTAAAACAGAAAATAGTTGTAATAAAATTTCACAATATTGCTGTTTTTTACTGTATTTTTTATCTAATAAATTCAGCGTGGGTGAGCATAAGAAACTTTTGAACGGTAGTGTACAATTTTGTGACATGCAAAAAATAGCAGCGTTTTGAGGATTTCACAGCTTGGAAGTATGTTTTGAAGCAAACTATCTGCTACAACTGTACAGATGCACAACTTAAATAAAAATGAGAGAATAAAATCACTTCAATAGCTTCAAGTGGTGGAGCATAGTGCAGCATTATCAGGAGACCTACAAACAGACTGATAGCAATTCTGAAGCAGCTGCACCCCTTATAGTAAAGCACAGGTCTTTGTGTGCATGCAAATGCAATATCACAACAGTGTTGAGTGTTTTTTTTTTTTTGCCACATCGAGTGTTATTTATGCTGTGCTAAAGCACTACAAAACTCTGCAACTGGAGTGTTTTGCAGAAGTGTACATCATGCGAAGGCCCAAGATATCTTACATTCCAAAAAGCACCATTTCTACAGTGAAGTGTAGTGATAACAGCATCTTGTTTTT